CCTCCTCCCTCAGCCCACTGGCCCTTTCCTTCGCTTAATCGTCCACGAGGAAGCAGAACACATACACTGTGTCATCAAGTCAATATCTTTTAGTGCTGTGGAGCCCAGAACCCCAGCTTCCACGAAAAAAGTTTGGAAAAGGAAGAATTAATACTTATTAAGAGCTGAGTTACTCATAAATCTTCGCGTCAGGCTGATAGGCATAGTGTTTGAATGTCCAGCACACAAGAATCGCTTTCTGGGCTCAGCAACAACAAGCTGTTCATCTTTTAATTACCCGGCACATGATTTATCAGATCTGACTCTTTTGGAATTATACTGTCAGTCTCTATTTAAGCGTAAAGTTATTGGCCAAGACAAAACGACTCAGAAGTTGACTTGCAGTCTTTCGTCTCGCAGAAAATCATAAAATTGGTCGAAATTTCGTTTTGGAGGCGCAAATTGAGAATAATTTGAGGTTAGAAGACGATTTCGCATTGTTCGACAAACTAAACCTCCCAAAGTCTTCGTTTTATAATTGTTTTGATTCTAGAGTTACAAGGAGAGTCCAAATTTTGACTTCAGATCGTTGGTCAAAGCCAATGATGGTCTGAGAGTTGTTTTCATTTGGCTGCGGCAAAGAACTAATCCTCTAAAAATGCAATTTTCTAGCTTTCGTAGTCCTGAATATGAACTTTTGGGCGAACATGCATTAAAAAACACAAACGCAAGTGCGCATATGTACTATTTAAAGCCGTTGTGATGTGACTGTGTGGGGGTTTTTTTCCTGTTTATGTGAATGCAAAAAAATATTAATGGGCCCCAGTGTGCGTCACGCATTTTCGATACTGCCATGCTGGAAAACTGAAATTTCTGAAACTTATTCCTTGATAATTGCCCGCGTTTCTCTTACTATTCTTCAGGCTGTGATGCGCAAAAATGCCTGCTTATGTTGCTGCTCTGATGCACAACACCGTTTCTTGGTTTACACAAAAGAACGCACAAAAATTATCATAAATACAAGTACAGTCGTACGCCACCGCACGAAAAACTCTATTATAAAATTTCATCAACACAGACATGCTGAATACGTAATACTATGAAACGTTGACACACTCAGCCAGAGACTGGGCGATTTTAAACTGCTCTGTTCAGCTCACAGCAGATGAAGATACCACTGATTCTCATGCACTGTTCATGGACATTATGAATTCCAAAAACTTGGGCAACTAACGGAAAATTTACAGAATACTTACATACCGGAATACAAAAGAACAAATTTCAAGGCAACCAGTTTATCAGAATGCATGTAATAAAGCCTTATATACGCTCTTACAAAGTAGCATCGAGTTTCAGGCATTCAATGCATGAATCACATAAAAAACTGCACAGTGTCATCAAATTATGAAATTTTTCGAAAACTGCCTGGACTGTCAGCACCGAAGATGTTGAAACGAACAACGAAAAAAAAAACTCGAAATTATTCTCCACAGCACTCTTCGAACAACCATTCTCGATGCTGGCTGCTAGACATGAGCGAGCGCCAGATTGCAGCTAAGTGTGAATCATTCATTAGGCTTATTTGACTGTCACTGAGCGCAAAGTTTTAAACGAAAATTCCATTTGAAAACTGCAATTATCACTCCATGCGATGTGTTACAGAGGGCAAGTAGGAAGCTCCGCTAACAGCGAATATTCGATCATTGATAACCTACCCGGAAACGCAATGAAGATACAGTTATTTCGAACCTGATATTTTGTGATCCTTTTCATCAGATCGGATACAACATTTTTTATCTCTTTTCGAAGATGCAACGAACAAACAATTACCCATTTTTTTTTTCAGTTAATTCAAATGGAGCTGACCTTGTTGATATCATACAAAATTTCAAGTTTTGCT